GAACAGTTGTTTTTAAATCCAGAAATCTATTTTTAATCCAGAATTGGCCCTATGTTTTCAGAATTTCCTGGAATGAAAAATACATTTCAAAAAGTTTCAAAATCACACCCGTAGAAACGATCAAAATATGGAAAAAGAATCCACTCCTAAAAAATCCAGTGTAACGATTTTTGATGCCTCTATTCCGCTGATCAAGTAATGTAGTATAATTATAATATAATGTATTATTATAATTACAATGTCTATATTTATATATATCTAGTTTTATGTATTGTAACCTTTTGTTTACAGTAATTGTAAAAAAGAGATTATTTATTTCTGGATGAAAAAATACATATATAACATATCATATATGTGTATATAATATAATATATACTATTATCATATAATTAATATACTACCCGCGTAGAAAAATTTTCTCTTTCAAAGATTGTTCAGAAATCTTGGGAAGAATTTTTGAAAGATTATGTGGGAGATCTGCTTGGTGACCCAAAAAGATTCTTCAGAAGACAAAATTTTAAGGTTCAAAATTTTCAAAGTCCAAAATTCAGGGCTTAGTAATTTGAGCGTCAAAAAAGTAAGGATTAAAGGAGTAAGGATCGAAAATTAAAATTGTCTTTGGAAGATTTTGTCTTCTGAAGAATCGTTTTGGGTCACCAAGTCGATCTTCTACATAATCTTTCGAAGATTCTTCCCAAGATTTCTAGAAGACCTTCTAAAGACAGAAATTTTTCTACACGGGTACACATATATATTTTATACTGTAATATTTTTAACAATAAAAAAATGGGAAACAGTTCTGTACTGTAGAAAAAATGTATATAAAGAATTCATATAATACATATACATATACATCTAAATAAATATATATATAAGACAGTATATGTGTATAGAGCATATAATACATCCCTAAAAATAAACAATAAAGCAAAAATAAAAAAGAAACGAAGAAGAAGATGAAGAGAATTATGACGATTCTTATTATGGAAAACTTCGTTGAAACCATTCTTGCATTATTATTGAGATAAAAATTAATAAAATTGCGAAACGGTGAGGTATTACTATTTTGTTTGTCCCTGTCCGAGTTGATTAAAATAAACAAATTAATATTTTACAGAAGTCTTTTCCGTTGAATTCCAATTTTGAAAAATTGATTTCGGTAAATGTTTACAAACTGATACATAAAAATTGATTTTTAATCTAAAATGTTCCCAATGTATTCAGAATATCAGTCGACGCGACGCAAAATTCGATTGGAGGGCGAACAAAAGCTCTTTTTTAAATTTTTGTATTCAAAATAAAATAAAATTGAACAAAATTTTCTCCTTCCAACTTTGGAAAATTGAACACTTGAGTTAAAAACTCGGACAATAACTGAGCCATGACGCAACCCACACTCTTAACCCTTACATAACAACATTGTTCTCTGATCATCGAATACATCAATATTTATAACACGATCCAGAGCATTTAATTTCTTATCACCGATGACAGGACTTAAAACCCCCACCAGCCCTTAAAGCCTGACCGCTCATTGTTCCCGGAAATAACACCCCGAGAATATCCCCAGATAACTGACCACGATTATCAACAGCAAAACGAAGTTAATCCACGTAACATTGAATCTAATTATATTAGTAGTCATCCTGTTATAGCAGTAGTCAGTTTTGAACGAGGAAATTCGAGACGTTACATAAAACAACAAAAAATACGACTGCTCGATGTTCAACATCGCCTCGCGTCAAACGTATTGTTTTTTACATTATCAATCAACGAAAATTTGCATGAATATTCGCTGCAATAACACAATTAAGTGGAGATTAGTTTATCGTGAGTTATAGAGCAGAAATTCACCGAGTGAATTCATAAAATTTAATTAATTCATGAGGGAGAATAAATGGAGGATTTCAAATCGGAAATCGTATTTTCAGGCTAGTCAAACATGAATGGATCGTATTCATGTATTCAAGGGGGCCTTATTGACCCGTTTCAATGGAAAAAACCTAAAAAAAATTAAAAATAGAAGTATGTAAAACATGAGCATTGAAATATGCGTTCGTGTTGCAATTTTTCTTTCTTCGTGTTTTTTTTTCTAGTGAATCAACGGGATTGATAACAACTAACGATAGGAACGGAACTGAATTTTTACTTGAACGGATTGTCTGATTGGTCAAGTGGAATGAATAGAAAATTCACTTGGAATTAATTTTCTTGATAAATCAAACCATTTTTGCAACTTTCTTCGTTGAAATGCTCATCAAAATTGGTAGTAAAATAATTGTATTGTTCTATTTTGGAAAGTTTCAATTTGATTATCAATTTTAAATCGTTAGGAAATATTTTAAAAAGTTGGAAAAATTTTTTTTTTCAATTATGAGCTTCTCTAATAGATAATTTTTCGATCGAAAAATTTTCACGGAAATCATTCATGAGATTGAATAACATTATCACAGTAATCAATTGTAGTAGTTATCGATCATTTTCCGCTCTCGAGGGTCCAAAGTATTGAGTCATCTATTACTCAAGAAAATTCGTTTAGTCATAGTGATGCATACCTGATTATTTTGCGCGGGAGAGTCACTCTTTCATTGGAAAATCCAGCTTTTATCATGAGAAATTAATCAAAGAACAAAATGTGAATTTTCTTACATAAGCGCAATCTTCACTAATCATGAACAAAACAAATCATGAATAGAACAGAACAAAAAAACACCTGAAGTATTTGACCAAAAAAAGGAATAATTAGAATATTTCTGATGAAATAATTCTAAAGATTTCTTACAATCGCTCTCAGCTCTACCTCACCTCGGAAAATTCATGACTCAGAATTGCTTCTGATAACTATGGATTAAAATAAAACTCTCCACCCTTCCAAAATTCCAAAGTCTACAAATCATTTTTCTGATTATTAAGAAGAAAAAATACAAATTTTGAAATTTCTATCCGGATAACAAAAAAACGGCTAAAACAATTTTGCTCAGAATCGAAATTAACATTAACTCCCTCCTTTCAAAAAACCCTCGACCCCCCTTCCCGCTTCATAGCTAATTAATCTCGCACTGAGAAAAAAATTCTACTAATTTGAATCATATTTTCGTGAGACAAGTATTTTTTTTCAATTCTTTAATTCTCCTGGGCATCTGCCCACACAGAAAAATTTATATTTTGAAAAATATACAAAAAAATATCTTGAATTGACCCAATTTATATCCCCGAACATTAAAGAAGGGAATTTATACAGCGTTCCACATCCTTGTGACGTCGTAGGAAATGATTGGATGGGATTTGGATGGAGGGGAACCGGGATTATTCTCAATATGAATAACCAAAAAAATTTACTGAGAAAAATGGATAGTCCAGCCCGGGAATGGAACCCGGGACCTTCCGATTATACATCGCGTGTTCTCTTTTTGTTTATTTGTTTAACAATTGGTTTATTGCAGTCAGCAACAATATTTACATTTTATTTATTTTATTTATATACAAAAAAACCGTGTCGACAAAAAAAATGGTATACCATAATATCCAAAAGGAAATATGAAAAAAAAAACATGGCAGTTAGCTCTCGTTTTTATCCCTTATCAGTATTCCGAGGAAAATATTTCTCATGGGTATAACAAACTCTAAATTTTATTTAACAGTTGAAAATGTGTCCTAACACTATTGTTTGGTAAAAAAAACGACGTCTAAGAAAGGCCTCATGCTTTACAATATTCGTGTACTCAAGTATGATTGTGTCGCAAATGAATTCACTCAAATCGCCTCGAAGAATTGTCAATCTTCAAGTATTTATTCATTTTCATTTTTTTTTGTTACGCAGTTCCAATATTTCGATATGTAATATATTCATGATATAATGCGGAACGATAATGATAATTGAGAATTTATTCGAGTTCCGTGAACCGCAAAGATTCTGAGACTTAAAGTAGCTCTACCCTTCGGCCGGGCTACGCTGTACTTTTGGATATTTTAATTTTTTTATTTTTTCAACTATATTGCATGGAAAAAATTTGAAAAAATTCATACCCAGTCACTATTATCTAAATTAAATTTCACGAAATATTGATATTTTTTCAAACATTTCCCTCTTATAAATAAATAATGAAACATATTTGCAAAACAGTGGATTATTTTTTATGAGGTGTCAAAAAAATTCTTGATTTTTTCATATCTAATGAAAAAAAATTCAGATTTTAATCTTTGATTACAATGGAAATGTTGATTTTCACATAAGACACTGGGTTAGATCCTGATTTTTAAGCATTTCTTCCTTGAAAAACCAAAACGATAATTAAATTGAGAAATTAGAATTCCGAATCTAATCGAGTTTTCTACAATTTTTTTGCAGTTTTCAATAATCTTTGAATTTATCGTAAGGGTGGAGCTACTTTAAGCCACTGAAAATAATTTACTTTTCTCAAGTAGGGGAGGTTGGGGTAAAATGGACACTTTTCACTTTTCTAAAAATACTAGTAACGGGTTGAATTGTTGATGGAATTTAATAATTGTTTTTCAATACAAAGAACAATTCTTTCCCTCTGTGATGAGTCTAAACTGAGCTCCATTGATACATTTGTTTCTGATTAATGAATAATTTAAAAAAAGTCTAAACAGTCCATTTTACCCTACCCTCCCCTAAATATGGTCTACATATTACAAAAATTTTCTTTCGTGTCAGTGCAATGACACATCGTCTTGCGAACCCCCTGCCGAACCCCAAACGCTGTCCGTCGATTCCAAAGTGGTAGGAGAGGGGGTGTGGTCGGCCGTGTCTTCCCAACACTTCCCATATCCCCTGGCGCCTTCGTCCCTAGTACCAAAATCCCCCGCCGCATATCCCCATTGCAAGCCACCCTACCCAACCAAGATGTCGCTACTATGAAACCCGAAGCGCCGCACTGGACTCCAAGCTATAACATTCGATTTCAACTTGGCTCATGAGGACGTCTACGCGGCTACGCTCTGACACTGGCCCGCCAGTGTGCCACTGACAGCCGAGACGTCAGTTGGCCCGAGAGTAGACCAAGTTACTGCACTAAACACAACAACGCCCACTGACACAACCGCGTGGTCTCAACTGTCAAATCAAACGCTCTTGCATCAATAAACCCGACGGTAAAAAAATAGAATAAAAAATCCAAAAATCATTGGGACGGACTAGCGAATGCCCCAGTACTTCCCTAATTAATTCCCTCGAAAAGAAAAACCGTCAAAGCGGATTAACGAGGCGCACGTTTTGTGATATATGTTTTAGTTGCGTTACGTAAAACTGTGACCCGAAAGGAAAAAAAGTGTTCCGTAAGTGAGTGACTAAATCGATCGAATTACTACTTTATGATTGAGATAACTGAAGTGAGGGAGCGCATTGGGGTACTTCGAGTGATGTTCTGAGGTTTGAAAAATGCACAGAAGTTTTAATTTGTTGAAATCATCGGGCAGTGGATTTTATAGGGAAGATTTTCACAAGAGTGTTTAATTAATTTGACTCGCCGAAGGCATCGCGTTAGTTATGACGGACGTGGCGAAAGAGGCATTTGCATCGAGTAATTATGGCCTGGCTGTGGAGATGTACGAGAGGAGTTTGAAAATGCAGAGGCCGAATTTGGAGGTACTCCTCGGGTATGGGGACTCGTTGGCGAGATCTGGCAGAGTCAGGGAGGCATTCGATGTTTATTCTAGGTGCATGGGAATTGCTGATGTACCTCAGGAGAGGCTCAAACATCTTGCTAGTGCTTTGCTCGAGGATCTTGTGGGCTTGACGCAGAGAAAAATCAGCGGTGGCTCGTTCAATTGTGCTAGCTGTGAGGGCACACTGCACTTGCCGGTTACGGGTTATTGTGGACATACGCATTGCAGAAGTTGTTATGAGGGGGGCAAGTGTTGTGGGGCTTGTGGACAAAAACTTGAGGAGGTTGGGGAGACCAATGTCCTGGTCCAGAGGCTCGTGGAGAAGTGGTGGCCGAGGGAGGCCGAGGCCAGCAGGGCTAGGCATGAAGGTGATCTCCTTTTGAAGGATGGACATCCGGCTCAGGCACTCGAGCGGTATAATCTTGCTGTCAAACTTGGTGAGTTAAGGGCGGGGGAGTGGGGCGGGTTTATTTCACGTGTTGAATGCACTGTTGGTGGATTTTTTTCCGCCAATTTCGGGGAAATTGGGGACAAGTTTTGTCGAGTGGTTGTTATACTGGAGTTTTAGGGAATTTCATCATTTTTTATTTGTAATGCAAGGGAAACAGGCACTGGTAGGGGAGGGTGGGGTAAAATGGACACGAGAATTTTTTAAAATTATTCATAACTTAGAAACAAATTTATCAATTGAGCTCAGTTTAGGCTCGCCACAAAGGGAAAGAATTGTTCTTTGTATTGAAAAAAAATTATTAAATTTTATCAATATTTCAATTCCTCATTGATATTTAAAAATAAATTAAAAGTGTCCGTTTTACCCCAACCTCCCCTACATGTGGAATTTAGTTGAGATTAGTTGGTGGGAAGGGAGAAAAATTGGGAGTATTCGGGGAATTATGTTCTTGATTTTTTAATTGTTAATTTGGTAGTGAATATTCAGGTTTTAAGGGTATTGTAAGGCCACAGTATGGATTCAATCATTCTTAATCATCAAATTTGTCAATTACATTATGTGAGAAAAATTCGAAAGAAAATCATGAATATTCAGTTATTTTTTTTAAATATTTATTGCTTATAAATAAATAATTTAAGTTGTTTAAACCTTCGGAAATCTTATGTTGTTAGGAATTAAATCGATTTCTAGTAAAATTCTGAATATGAATAAATTTTTTACGATTCCGAACAAATAATTTTTATGGCGGAAAATTGATTAATTGATTGTTTATAAATTATTTATAAAAAATGCGTTTTTTTTCAAAAATGGCAATTTAAATATTATTTCATCAATTTTCTTCCAAACTTAAACTTTCCAATTTTTTTCCGATTTTTATAAATCATGTGTTTTCTAATGGTTCAATGTTGAAATTCAAATTCAGGCATGCAAAGTTTGAATAATAAAATCATTGTAAAATGTCTGAAAACTTAGCGACAAATGTGGCTCGAATGAAAGCTCTCATAAAATTATGTTGATTTATATTATAATAAAGCTAGATATGACCTTGAATGAACTCCATTGATATTTATTAACATTTAGAATTATTCCAAATAATGTTACGTAAGAAAATCTCAAATTTGAAAAAACTGAAAAATAATAAAGGTTCATTCAAAGCCGTTGTAGCATAATCATCTCACAATTCACCATAATTGTAATATTAAGAGATGGACATGGCCCACCTGGGAATGACTGGCCCGGAAGAATTAAAAAAATTTCTTCTCCCAACAAAATAATTCCTTGGCAAAAATTATTTTCTTTTTCAGCGTAATGGATTGATATAACACAGAAAAACCAAAACTCAAATTTGAACGATTACAAAGCTTCCATTCGGACAGGGGCAGTGGAACAATAGTGGAGTTTATTGGTCACTCCATACCTTAAAATGGTTGAAGTGTGGAATTCCACATCTCGAAAAAATCGCAAGAAAAACAATTATTCTACAATTTTATCAAAACGATTTTTTTCAATGACCAACTGGCTTAGATCTAGATAAAATCCTGGATGAATTTATTTCGCGAAAGTGAAGAAATAGTTAGCGTTAACCGTGTTAGAGCCAATCACTACCACCTTGCAGCCTCCTTAGCTAGAATTGGAATAACCAATGATCCTAGCTGCTCTTGCGGAGTAGAGAGCCAAACTTTTGATCATATCTTGTGGCACTGTTCTAAGTACGACCAACAAAGATCTAAACTTCTAGTCAGACCGAACAGCTCGAACTGTTCTAGGCCCTTTACCACCAGAAAATTCGCAGAGGCAACTGACCACAAATATGTAAACGAGATATATAAATACCTAAAAGACTGTCAACTTCAAATTTAGATAACTTAGCACAAAATGAGGCAAAATAAGATACTAGACTATACATATCTGACAGTGTAAAGAACTCAATAGATGGGTTGCATCACTTTAAAATAATTAATAAGAAAAAAAGGAGAGAAGAGGCCTGTTTGCAATGTCACCTCCAAAGTCTGATATACTAATTTAATAAACAAAATACGTGAAAAGTATCACAATGTTTTGAAATAATTAGGGGGAAGCAGTGGAAATGAGACTATTTGACCCTCGTGACCCTTCTAATTCCAGAAAAATTTACTTTACACCACAAATTTTCACATTCTGCCGCCCCTGCATTCCGAGGCAAATAAATGAAGTCTTCTTGAACATCAAGTGTGCAAGAGGATTCCTCTTTTCCATAATATTAGAATTTTCCGCCATTTTTCGAAAATCTAGTGCCCACCAATACCTATAAGATTGTTCACGTAAGACACTTCTTTCCTTGAATAATCAAAGGGGCATGTCAATTGAATTAAACGATAGCGTCAACAATAATCAGTCATTACTCAGTTGTTCTGTTTACCACTGATAATTAATTTGCGATAATTTTGTTCATCATTCACTTAACGAGTGCACAGGGCCTCGGTCATGGACCCCAACTGCAGGCGCGTGCGTTGCCCAGCAGTCTCTGCTCTTTGTTCAGATTCTCAGACATTGAAAACGTTGGATACAACTACCGAGTCGCTCAGCAGTCCAACGCATGCGCGGTTTTACATTCCGGGGTATTACTTTTAGCGAGATCAATTTATTTAGTTGAGAAATCACCGCAGGAGGACTGAAAAATCAGGCATTGCAACCGCATTTTTGCAGTTTCGTGTATTCTTTTAAACAATTTTTTCAATGAAAAAATATTTTTTTAATAACGAATTATTCAGACCTATTTGTTATCGTTGAGACAATTTTTACAATTATCGTTCGAATTTTTTATTTCTACTACATTATTAAAAAATATCTTTTTCAGTTTTTTAAATGAATTTTTTGGTTTAAAAATTTATAATAAAACAAACAATCATTCTGTCCCAATGTTCATGACCTCTTTTTTTCTCGAGACGATTTGATTTATTGGTTGACGTTTTCCGATACACTGTTAGAAAATTACTCTTGAAATTTCAAGTGAAAAAGCTTGAGATTTTTAACAATGCCAAACTTACATGAATTTTCTGTATATTTCTTCATTGACGAGTCAGTTAATTTTGTGAATATTCAAGTTATTCTCGATTTTTGGGTCCATACGGCACTCAAAAACCTTGAAAATTTTGAAAATTCAGGTATCAACTTTTCGGAATTCTCAATCTATTGAAAATTGAATTGTATGTGATGTTCAATTTTAACGATGAGTTTGGAAATTCAAGCTTTCATTGAAAAATCTATGATTGTTTTACATGAAAAATCGAATTTTCTCTGAACGCTTTTATTCGAAATTGAACTCAACCTCACAAAATCGAAAATTCAGATGACGCTGTGGCTGAAATTTCAAGAAATTTCTAACAATGTATTTTTTACTACAAAAATATGTTTTTAGTAATGATGTATTCCAATCTATTTCTTATCATTGAGACAATTTTAATCATTTTCATCCAATTTTTTAAACATATTTCTCAAGCATGAAAGAAAATGAAAATCTGTTCAATTTTTTAAAACGTGAATTTATGGAACTGTTTTTTCTACAAATCGAGGATTATTCTTTGAAAATGTGAATATGTCCTCAACAAATTCACAATTTTCCCCTGTACTTGTGCACTCCCTGTCGAAAAGTATTACGAGGATAACCGCATTATAAAAACCAACGGAAGATAAAAATTGTATAAACTTCCAAAACTATAAAAATCCGTGTTAAGTACTGGATAAGCGGCTTGGAAGTGAGGAGACCGATGTTATTGTCTGGTTTCCATGTATGACAAGTTGGGATAATCATACATAATGTCGGTTCAACGTACTAACGCGCGGAATCCCACCTGATCATCATTACCCTGCTATTAATAAACTCGTCATAAAGAAAAGACCGCTCACAACTTCAACTGTTGTGCATTTCAACATGCGCCTGGTCATCTCTTTATATTGCTATATTGCGAGTGAGTAAAATTTCGCAGATGTAACCTGCAAACAAATGATTGTTGCAAGTGATAAAATAAAAAAAATCAATTCTGCTAGATGAAAATCGCGAAAATTTTCCACAAAAGAATTATTTGTTTTTTCGTTTTTACTTCACCTATTTAATATTGCGAGTATTTTGTATTCTTTAATTCGCGAAGAAGTTCACAGTCTAAATTTAATTTTATGAGAATAGAAAAATTTCTAGGAATCATTGACTCTATTCTATGAATAAACTTCATCCACGTGATAATTATCTGAATGTAAATATCTATTCTTCACAAAAAAAAGACAAAATATATTCCCATAAAATTATATAAATTGTGAATACAACAAGTTGAATTAGAAATTTGAATGAATTGTTTATTCTCCTAAAAAAAAGTCTCAATATAGAAAAGAATTCAAAGAAAATTCTCTGTGGTTCGAAAAATTTTGACCGAAATATTCATAACTCTTGGGATTATCTCCAAAATTGAATTGAAAAATCAAGTGAAAATCTCGTGTACCCCGTTTTGCAATAAAAAAAAAAGTCATGAAAATTTGTCACAGAAAAATTACTTGATTTTTCCTTTTTTACTTCAACTATTCAATATTGCGAGTATTTTATATTCTTTAATTCGCGAAAAAGTTCAAAGTATAAATTTAATTTTATGAGAATAGAAAAATTTCTAGGAATCATTGACTCTGTTCTATGAATAAACTTCATCCGCGTGATAATCATCTAAACGTAAACATCGATTCTTCACAAAGAAAGACACAATATATCCCCATAAAATTATATAAATTGTGAATACAACATTTTTCAACGGGAAGAGAGTAGTTATAAGGATCAAACGGTGTTAAGGGTCAATCGGGAGGACCGAACGAAGTGATCATGAGGGTCTAATGACCGTAAGGGGCAGTCACACCGCATTTTTCAAGTAATGGAAATATACATCGATTTTTTTTCACTTTTTCCATCGAAAAATCGTAATTTTTCGTTTGCGATTATTCTCGAGTTCGCCAACTATCCCTCAACAT